TTGTGCGCGTACAGGCCCTGCCAGCCACATCGCTCCGCCAGCTCGTGAAGTAGACGAGACGATCGCACAACCAAGACTTTGAAGACGGTAGCGATCCCTCGGCGGACGTCTGCGTTGTGATTGTGGTTGGTGAACTCGCCAACGCTCCACTTGGCATATGCATGCAAGACTTCCCCGTGCGCCAGTGCTTCCAGGATCGGTCTCTGCTGTGTGCTGAACTGCATGATGGGCAGTCTGTTCCTATCTCCGACCAGACGACGCTGGCTGTACAGGGCGGCGATGCAGCCCGCAACTCGGATGGCAGACACCCCCATGATGGAGAGTGAGAGCGTGCCGACGGATACCCTCCAGATGTGGGCAAGAAACTCCTCTCGCTCGTTGTCACCTCGCGACGCCGATCCCAGAAGCGCTTCGGGCTGAAGCCTCACGTTGTGAAACGTCGTGATGGAGTGGTCCAGCGGCTTGGTCCCGGCCCGCACAGGGAGCACACGCGACACAACGCCGTCACACATGCCTCTCGCGTCGTTGATCCGCACGACAAAAGGCTTCACCCCTCGGTCATCGCCGCCCACGATGAGCCGGGCGAAAACAACAGCAACGCGGGCCATACCGGCTAGCGGCGAGGATGGCGGCATGGCTTTGGCTGCGCCTGCGTTCGGCGTGTTCAGGGTAAAAGACCCGTCGGCTTCCATCGTCGCAGTCGTCTCCAGATTGCGGGCGTCGAGGCCATGGCCGACCTCTGTCAACATGAATTCTCCGCAAGCCTTGAAAGCGAGAAGTTCCTCGAGGGTGGCCATGAGGTCAGGTCGCTCACGCGAGAATCTGGCAATCGTTCCGACACACAAGTTGAGGTGAATAGTTGCGATGACGAAAGCTGTCATGTCCCGAGAAGAAATGGCTGGCAGGTAGTAGTTGAGCATGATTGATGTACGACAGATATGGAAGAGAACGTACGATCGAAGTGGAAATCCCAAAACCTTGGGGTCAGCTTATCAATGTCATCGGCTGTGAGGGCTAAGCTGATGTTAGCATGGCGCAGTTCGTTTCGATGATGTGCGTATTGGCGACGCGCACCTCGGCTCAGGCAAAGAGCCTTGGCTCGTTCATAGTGCAGCGGGATGTTTGTAATCGATGGCTCGTGGCGGCTGTCCCTTCTCGCATCCCAGACTTCGTCGACCAAAAGCGACGTGTCGAAGTCCCTGGCGAAGGAGCTGATATCCGAGATGACGTTGGAGGAGAAGGTGTAACGTAGCTGGGGGCTAGCCCAATAGCAAGGACACGTGCGAAGGGAGACCTGGAGAGACAACTTGATCCTGAGTTCGGCAGTGGTGATGTCAGGGGGTTTTGTGTCTCGAGAAATGAACCCGCCTTTTGTATCAGTCATCCGCTGTGCCGCCCCGTCCATAGTCATAGTCTTGTTATTTGGGCGAGAAGGATACACGTCACAAAAGGCTCTTTATCACGTGGGTTTGTGGACTCAACTTCAGTCTGCCAGCTTGCCTCCCCACGTCCGAATCGAAGCAGCGGCTATACTGGGCGCAGAGCAACTATCGGCTTTATGTCTAAGCACGGTTGAAAAGTGACCTTAGGATCCTGTTTCTGTTTTGTCTTGATTCACCCATAGTCACAGCTCACCTCTGCCGTGCGATATATATCACATACATACTTCAGAACTGGTCTGACAGCCATGAGAGATAGCGTGAACCGCGGTGCATACATCCTCTCCATTCTTCTCCTATACCTTGATTGCGGCTTGTTTACCCCAGTACCCCAGCCTGCAACGCTAACCATGAGCATCACGAGATCCGTTGAATACTGTCACAGACTTCGACAGCTAGCCGCGGATCAGCTGCGAGCCGTCACAGAGTATACTATTCGAGGTCATATGGGCCCCGAGCAGGAACTCGCCTTGCAGTTAGAAATCCTCAGAATAGCCACGAACATACAGCGAATGATGCCGCCATTGGTCGATCAGGAGGGAGAGGGCCGCATTATTGCCGATCAAGCTGTGTCTTCCCTGTTGCAGGCGTCTGATGATATAGCCTCAATACGCGGCAGTTACGGGGAGAGAGTATAGCGGCGGCAAGCTCCACGTACCTGGCTGTCAGGTAAGGATGATCCGCTGCGTGAGAACACGACCGTTTTGCTCACGACAGTAGTAGCCGACGCACTCTCCACAATGTATTCACAGAAATGGAACGCATGACGCTATCATTAGGAGTTGGCAGAACCGAGAATGGGTTTTCCGTCATCGTTTACATAGCATATTCCACATTACAAGCTTCCTCAGTCGATCAAGGACAAAAGACCTAAGACCTGAACAGGAACACGACAT